TTGTCTTTAAATTTCCCCCATAAACCCATGATTTCTGGAAGTTGCGGTCTACGTTTTACAGACAATGTTGCGAGAGCAATGATTAAGGTTGAGATAGTCTAGCTGCAATAAATCTTGAGAAAGTCATAAGAAGGAACGGGTTTTTTATCCTTAACATAACGCTGAATATTCAAAACTGGTAGTATCGCAGTTGTCAGTGCTTTACTGCGGTCAAACGAAGTTCGTTTTACCTAGGAATCGAAGGAAATATGAAAAACGGTTTTTCTTATTTCATTGCTCAGAACAAAAAATTGAATGTTGCGCAGTTGTCTGTTCAAATGTACGTTTTAAGAACAATGACATACGATTTGCTTACATTATTTCGCAAATAAGGGAGAAAAGGGTACCATACGTGGAAGACGTTCGGTTGCGTAGAGTGCGCAATTTTTGAGAGGCGGCAGAGAACGACCAGAGCCGACGGGGCATTTGGCTCTGATGGGTTATCTCGGCTTACTAAACGCCAAAATCCATATATCATTCTGCTCAGAATCGTATGAAGAATCTAGTTGACAACTGCGCAACTTTCATAACTTTCACCGTAACAAATTATTCTCTAATTTTTGATTTTTACTCTCAGAGCTGTTTGACGTAGATGCTTCTATAGTTCAATTCTAAATCATAATAACTATTACTTTTAACGATGCATGCCTTTCGAAATTCTTAGGCACATCAATTGCTTTGAAGGAAACAGTTACAAGGCAAATTCAGCACTTACTCCTCATACTTTGTGGCCTCTTTAACTTCAATTTCTACCCTCAAAGCTACAACTTTTTATTTTTCATAAAAAAAAAAACTCTTCATTATCCCTAATATCCACAGTTCTCATGTACTACAATCTCTCAATCTTATTTCGTTATCAATAGAGCAAAAGCCATTTTCTTCCTCTATTAATATTGTGTACTTTAATCTGCACAAATTTCTTTAGGTGGGGGTCCTACTCCTTTCCTCATTAGTGAAGGTGACCGGAGCGATGGCTCTATGTATTTAACCTAAGCTTACAAAGGTGCCCGCTTCTAAGGGCGAGCTGGAAGTTGCTTAGAAAATTCAGAACGCTCACAGGTTCAAATCTCAGGTCGCATTGGCTATCTACTTGCTTGATGAGAAAGGCGAATATATCGGTGACCAAGCGACACTGGCACCCAGTAACGCGCTGAACATCGAGTTGGAAGTATTTGAGGTAGCGGCATAACGTTCTATCATGCCTAAGTCAACTACTGGATTAAAGCACATTGTGATCATTGTCAGGCCTCCACTCGTCGCGTTAAATCCAACTTAAACAGAGCTGAAAACGAGATGAATTTGATGCGCACAGTCAGCTTATCAGTGAGTTTCAATAAAGTTTGAAATTTCCGTAGCTAGTGTACCCACTTTAGGATCGTAGTGTTGCCGAACAAAATTTTGAGAAAGTCAACTGGTATGGGACGTTGAACACTTGCGTCATGGTAATCTCTGCTATCACACAGGTACAGGGTCAGCTTAAGTTTCTCAATGAATTTCTATTTTTTATCTTATTGTAGGTATATCTGATCAGGAGTTTAATCACCGAAGGATCTAAACTTGGTAAATTCTTGAGAAAAGGAAGGCTTTAATACAAGCGAGAATGCAGGCAGAAAACTAATGCTTCATTACTCATCTCTCATTTATTCAAAAATTTGTTGCCAAATTGCTTGTCACGCTTATTTACGGCTACCTCCTCATTTCACTTGTCGTGCCTTGCAATCTCTTTTGAAAATTCACTTATGCGTACGGCTTTATACATTAGTGTATAAAGGATTTGTTTCAAATTTAACAAGAAAAATAACAAGAACAAGGGTATGCAACGTCAAAGATAACAAATGATTTCAAAAAATGAGGGCATCCAAGCATAACATTTAACATACCTATACTTGTATGTCAGTAATAAGTTAATCCTAAATTTCACTCTTCGTAGAACCCTCATCAATAGCAGTTTGACTGTTCGCGGAAAGAGAGATGCGACCTTTAGGTCAAGGTGACAAACGATGCAATGGTACAAACTAGATCTCACTTAGAAAGATCATGAGAAGGATTTTAATACTTTACATATGTGAGACGATGGCGGACGCAAAATTTGTTCCACCGTGTGAGAAGAATCAGCAGCTAATGCTGATGCTAATTTTACACATTCTTAAAACTATATTCAAATGAAAGATAACAGATAAAAATGCATTAATCATTTACCGTAGGTTCCCTTGAAATAAGTGTGGCATGAATTTTTCGATTGCTATTGGTAGGTGCGACTATTTGGACGTAGTTGATTTCACCAGATCCTCAACGACCTCCGCAGTTATCTTAGCATTGTTTTCGCTGTCGATCGTTTCTTCAACCTGGAATAGTAAACCTTGTGACAATGCCAG